CACACACACACACAACACGAATTATTTTCCGTATAATGAATAGAATTGGGGATACGGACATGTCAAACATCAGCAACAAGTCTGATTTGAATGGATTATTATTTTTTGTGTAGTGCACATGTATAATCATAATCAGCATACTTTATTAATTCCTAGGGAAATTATGTGGGTTACAGTTGCTCCAGTACAGTAACATTAAAAAAAAGACTAGACTATGTAACAATACAATATTTCAAAATATAAGAAATAAGGAATAATACACACCCAATCTGCCATAAAATCCTCATAAAGAAATACATTTTTCTGTCTTTAATTTTTCATAAATCATTAATCAACTGGACTTTCTCTCAAAGACACACATACGTCACATATTCAAAGCCTGGGTATTTCAGTTCATATTTGTTCATATTTCATAGTGAAAGTGAATGAGGCCTTTCTGTCCACGAAGGTGTCGAGAAGGATTACCAGGCACTACACAAAAAAATACGAGTAATGAAATTAAATCAGTTTGACATGCCCAAGACTCTAATCACCACCAATGTCCTATTCCCATACTATTTATTATATGGAATCATAATCAGGTTTAACTGTTACACAGGCATTGAATTAACTCAGTGGCTGTTTCCGACATTCTTTGATCACTGATAAACATGATTGACGTTGTTCACAAACAACAGCTAACATATGAAAATCCATTTTCGGATGGTATGTGCCTCATCTTGTTTTCATAGAATTAAAATCACATCAGTCATGTTCTTATTTTCCTCCTCTAGCTGTCTGGTACTAGGGCTGGGCGATATGGCCTAAAATCCATATCGCGGTATAATTTGAAGCACGTGCGGTAACGATATATATCGCGATATATACGTTATACATTTTCTTCTGTATTTTCCACACTATAAGGACTTAAAATCCTTTAATTTTCTCAAAAATCGAGAGTGTTCCTTATGTATGAATTCTGGTTGTGCTTACTGACTGACCTGGAACGGATTTCGGCTGCAGAAATCTGTTAAAAAATGTTTTAGTACAACTTTGGTAAGCCGCACTGCTTGATGGATTGTCAGAGCATTACGGCTGCCGTAGTGAGGAGCTCCGCGGAGTAATCTGAGTACAAAACTCCGTCTGCTTCAGGTCCCAAAGTCAAACGAACACTGAGAGTTAAAAACGGTCTGAATTCTTTAATCTTTAATAAAATCATCAGCGTTGCTGTTTTATCGGGTGTAACAATTAAGTTTAACATCCAGGCATCCATGAAAACAGAATTTATTAAATTTAACGGAGTTAACAGTTAGCAGGAAGTTAGCTCGCTAGTTTCCACCTAAACATTTCATACCATGTTCTGACTGAGATTTCTGAAACTAATTCAAACGTACAGCTCTGCTACCACTTCCAACATAAATGAAGACAGGAAACTAAACAGCAGTGGCGTTTGCAGGGTTACTGAAGTTGGACTAGCTGGTATATAATCTTGTGCTACGTGATTGCTAGCGACACAGCTATGTTAGCATAACATTAGCACAGTGAAGCTGGAGGATGAACGCCAACTTTTTTTCCCGCTCGATAAAAGTTAACGTGACGGATTCTGGTGGTCAGGATCAAATACAGTCGCATAGCAGGATGCTATACACGGGCCAAACTTCAGTCAGGAGAACAACTGAGATTATTCATCCACAATACGAGGTTAGTTATTAATATACTGCAACAACACGGGAACAGAGCAGCTGCGAGAGAATTCAACATTAATGAATCAATGTTACGGAAGTGGAGGAAGCGCAGGTTTTGGCTTTCCCCATATTTCAAAAGTGCTTCATCTCTTTGCTGTGACTGTCGCCAGCATAATTTGCAGATCATAATGGTTGTAGCCGCTGCGATGCTTTCGACCAAAACAGGCGCAGCTTGATGACATCATCAACATGCGCTATCGCAATAGAGCGGTATAGTCAAAATCTCTATCGTTGGCCAAATTTATATAGTTTCTATCATATATCGTTTATATCGCCCACTCCTATCTGCTACCTTCACAGGTATTCAGTAGATGTCCGGCCCCTCAGAGACATCAGGTGGTATGTCGCATCCTGGCCCTTCTCCTGGGGCGGGTATGTCCCCAGGGCCCATCTTGGGCCCCAGCCCTGGACCAGATCCCTCACCGAGCTCTGTTCACAGCATGATGGGCCCCAGCCCTGGACCCGGAACACCCAATGCACCTCACGGCATGCAGGGCCAGGGACAAAGTGATTACTCTCAGGACAGCATGTACTCTATGCATAAGGTACAGCGTGCAAACAGTACTACAAACTATGTCGTGATGTCATTAGTGCTAAAGGAAACTGTTAAAGTAGATATTTCTATCACTCTGATGGATTCAGTTTTTTAAACCTTTTAGTATGCTCACTAATAAACCGACCAAACTAAAACAAGGAAGGGAGGAAACATTAGGAAGATATGAAATACTTTATTTATCCTTTTATATATCACATAAATATATATTAGCTTAAATGAGGGAATACGACATATCTGTTGTTTGATAAATTGATACAGACATAAATAATAAATGTGAATTTTTGCAGTACTTTTATAATCTTTTTATACTCTTGAGTTCATGCAGTGGAGGGTGGAATAGATTTTTTTGTTATGGTCATTTTTAAAGATTTTGGCAGTTTCGCAGTAGAATTACTGATGTTACTTCTGCTTAGGCAGGCAGTTCATTTTGCTGCTGTAATAATCCCAACTTTGGAACTAATAAAGGCTGTCTTATTTTATCTTATCTTATTAATGTTTATTTTTGATACGATTAGAACCATCAGTGTCCTAAATTCAATCTTAAACTGGTAGGACAGTGTGTTTTTGCAGTTAACTTGTGTAGATCTGAAACATATTTTGTGTTTTCAGCCCATGGAGGGGATGAATGACAAGTCAATGGCAGAGGCAATGCACTTTGGTCACATGAAAGGTGTGGGGATGAGGTCTCTCCACAGTGGCATGGGACCTCCACAGAGTCCTATGGACCAGCACAGCCAAGGTTTGAAACCCAAGTCCTTCAGCTCTCTAAGCAGCCTGGTTTATTAACTTAACCTCATCATCCACTTGTGGTGTTAATGTTTCTCAGACATCTTCTAAATATAAGAGTTAATATTAAACAAGGAGGAAGCAGCAAGGAAATAAACAACCCAGCTGTGTGTTTTCCTCTTTCTAGTGTGTTAATGATTAAATAACCTCTAAGACTCATTGGCTTTTGCTCTGATCCCGAGGTTGTGACCCAATTCTTCAAGGCTTTGATGTGTGAAACCTCCTTTCTGTCCACTTAAGGGTACATGTCTCCCCACCCATCCCCAATGGGAGTCCATGAGCACGCTTCAAGTCCCATGTCAGGAGGCGGAGGTGGACCTACACCACCACATATGCCCCCTGCCCAGTCAGGCCCTATGATGTCAATGGATCCCCAAGGAGGCATGTCCAACATGTCCAACATGGGCCAGCAGGTGAGGGGGTCATCTGCTTTTAGTCCAGTACAGCTGCAGCAGCTCAGAGCTCAGATTCTGGCCTACAAGATTCTGGGTCGTGGGCAGCCGCTACCGGAAAACCTTCAGCTGGCTGTTCAAGGTAAAAGGAGCCTACCCACAATGCAACAGCAGCAGCAGCAACCACAACAACAGCTGCAGCCACAGGCACCAAGTGCCAGTCCTTACAACAGGCCTCCAGGTACGATACAGATTTATGTTGGTACAAATATTTTGTGAGTTTCTTTGTTGTGAAAGTCTTTGAACATTAACAAGTAAAGATAAAGAAGAATTATGATTTTGTTTTTGGTTCTTTGTTGTACCTCAATGTGAGACTGTAGTGTAGAAAGATGCCTCAGTCAAAATATAAACTGATCTAATTACATAGTTTAGTTTTGGGTTTACGTTGCTGTCAATAAATTGAGTAAAAAGCTTGAAATAGTCACTGAGCCCAGATTGAAACATTCATATTGAACCTGTTTTGTCTGACAGAGAACAGAGATTTGTGTGATTAATGGTGTAATGACAGAAAAGAGGCGTGAAATAATTTTCCTTTACAGTTTCAAATTGTAACGGACAAATTGTTGAACTATAAAATCTGTTATTGTGTTGAAAGGTATGCCAATGGCTCCTATGGGGGGTCCCCAGTCGAGTCCCTGCCCAGCCCCGGCCATGCAAGTACTCAATCAAAGCACAGGACCCAAGCCTTGGGCCGATGGTAAGTTTGGCAGGTGTATGTGGTAAACATGGGCTCTGTGGCTGGACCGATAACGCAGGGATCTGCATGTGGCTTCACAGTCAGTCCCACTTTTCCCACTTTTCATTCCGCCCAGTCTAATCCAACATGCAGTGCCCAACAGATTTTTCTGTCAAATGGCTTAAAGCAGAGAGATCCCCAAGCATTTACTAAAACTTCAGTTCAGCAGGTAAAGGTGAAGAGAATAATGGTGCAGTAGTAATATGACAGAAAGTATGACAAGAAGATGAAATATTTAGAATGAATAGTAAAACAGTCATAAATTAAAAACAGATACAGAACAAGAAAATCTCAACTTCCACTGTGGTCGATTTAAAATTGAACAAATAGAAAAATGAATCTGTCAGAAGCTCAGGGAGATCTTTCTGACAGCTAATTGCTCCCAGGTGAGGACACTGTTTCCTCTGTCATGAGCTCTGGCGTTGTGTTGGTCAGTTAACCGTGTATGAGGAACGGAAAAATTGACCTCCTAAAGCCAAAGGGGGAAAAATCCATAAGATGTGTGTAAGTGCCAGGTTGTCTGTAAACACACAGGTGCATTTACTGAATTGAGAAAACCCTGGTTGATGTGCGTGTGTTCATAACTTCCCATGTGATAATTTGGTATTTAGGAATAATTCCCAGTGCAGACATTTTTACAGACGGTATTTTTACCTAACGTATCCAGTTCGTCCCTTTGGGGTCATCACAGTGGATCCATCTCACCCTCTGCACCGTCTTCTCTCACACCAATGATCTGCTCATCCTCTCTAACTACATCTGTAAACTTTCTCTTTGGCCTGAAAACTTTCTTGTGTCTTTATAATTCTTTGTGCAGCGTATTTCCTCTCTCTCCTCTGTAGATGTTCAGACCATGTCCTCTCCAAAGATCCAAGCTGAGCTGTCCCTCTGATGTGCTCATTTCTAAATTACTTCCACCCCCATCTTTGTCTTTTATGTTAGTGTCTCCAAACCATCATAGCAGGCCACTCACATCTTGTAAACCTTCCTTTTCACTCTTGCCGCTGTCCTTCCGTCACCGATCACCCTTGACACTCGTCTCCACCCTGCTTCACTCTTCTCTTCACCTCTATTGTCCACTGTCAGTTGTTTTGAATGGTTGCCCCCAGGTATTTAAGCTCATTAAGCATAAAAAAACTCATGCAGCTTGTTGTGGTTAAAACCAAACTGAAAAAAACGAAACGATACTGACACGTTAAATTTTTAAAAACCTTTTGGTACTGAAGGAATTTGAGATTTTGGTCATGTGGGACTGGACGCAATAACCAGAAGTCTTTGCTCTCCAGGTCAGTGTGCTGAAAATCAAACCATTGCACAGAAGCAGCTCACTCCTGTTGCTAGCGGTCGCCCCTCTCCTGCACCACCTCAGGCCTCTGCTGTGCCAGCTGGGCCCATGCCGGGCAGTTCGGGGACCCCTCAGCCTCCTGGGCAGCAGGGGTCCGTAATGCTCCCGATACAGCACAAGCAGAACCGCATCACGCCTATCCAGAAGCCCCAGGGCTTGGACCCAGTGGGAATCCTGCAGGAGAGAGAATACAGGTAGACACATTCACGTATTCATCAGTGGTCTCACAATAGTGCAAAAACTTCACATCTACACAACTCAACACAATAAAGAATGAAACTGCCTGCATGAAATCAGTGGTAAAGGAAAGTTTGAAGATGAATTTATGTGTCGAGGTCAAACTGCTGCACATGACAAACTGCATTGCTCTGCATATGTGACATTACATGTTTTCCACTTGAAACGAGTTTAAGTCACATATCCAAACATTGACTGTGACACGAAGACTTTGCGAGCAGAGTCTGCGAGCGTTTGACAAGGGTTAAGGTTACAAGCTTTACCCGTATGAATATGATAACGTGAGAAACACTTTGTGGTGGAGCCCCTATGGCCTTTCTTAGAGGTGCCTCGCGTGCTCAATCACAACTCACTGTTATCCCCGCAGGCTGCGTATTTTTCTAAAAACAAAGATTGCCGAAGGAGACGTCGGGAAGCCTCCACAGACCTTAATCTTGTTTTGGCCCTAAGGCTTGTTTTTCTCTCCATAAATTTGATGTTGTTTTGATGATCTCTTCTTCATGTTGTCTTGACCGAGCTGCATTGGTTTAGACATGATTAGAGAGAGACTTGTCCTCAGTCCACCTTGTTTGTCCAGTGAATACATTGTGAAATACTGTGCCTCTCACAGTGTTGTGGAACAGCACTGCATTATTGTCAGTGTTATGTAGTAATAAATATACTCCTGAGGCTGTTGAATAATCAAAACAACTTTAGATCTTATTGATTTAATGCAGTTTCCCCTCAGAAAGCTACCTGATGATACTACTAAATAAGTAAAGCTCACAGTGTAGCTGCACCATGGATGTGTGAAGAGGACCAGAACTCGTACTGCGGGCAACAGACCACCCAGAGATATAGGGGAAAAAACTTTCAGTAAGACTACACAAAACCTGCAGGTTTTATGGTTTAGTTGGACCCAGAGTGTCATCATCTGTGTTAACATGCACCAAAGAAGCACTTGGAAACTAGACTTTAAGCCTGAAAGATACTTATTCAGCAAACACTCAGTATGCACCTGAGGCAATGAGACCATGTGTTGATGGAGGCTCTAATGAAGGTAACTGCAAAACAAAGCATACGTCAAAAAAGTAAGTGCCATGCTAGATTCAGATGTTGAAGATTGCTGTGAAAAGTGCAATATGCATCCAAATCCCATCTAAATAGTGTGATAACATGAATCACATTCTATGGCCTTAACAGCTGACAGGTCTCATGGCAAATGGATATAATATTAATGGATATATCACCATCGTCCAAATTTCCAGTGATGTAAATACCTGACAGCATGTGGTGGCCAAATGCCTCAATAAAACACTGTATGTGTGTCCAGTGTCCTGCAGTTTAACCAAATGTCTCCGTAATGTCTCTCAGACTGCAGGCTCGGATTGCGCATCGAATCCAGGAACTGGAAAGTCTGCCAGGCTCGCTGCCTCCGGACCTCAGGACTAAAGCCACAGTGGAGCTCAAGGCTCTGCGTCTGCTCAACTTCCAGCGTCAGGTACGCGGCAGCTGCAGCGTTTCATGTTTCACGTGACTGCATCAATGTAAATGCATAACTGCAGCAGCTCGTAGTCGAATGGAAAGAGCTCACTTTTGTTATCACTGGAAGTTCATCGGATCACCCGCCGTGTGAGTGTGTGCGGCGCTTTTATCGATAAATCCACACTGGGCTGGTTTGCTGCTCAGGTATTCTTAGAACGGAGATGCCATTTCCACTGATTTATGTTAAAGGTACATGTACATACAAAGTTTGGACTTCTTGCTCTCAGTCAACAAAATACATTCATCCACCTAAAAATATGATTATTAATTTGTTTTCTTTAGGCCGGCTTTTATTGTTGTTTTGGTTTATCGACACTTTCAGAATTCTTAATTTCTCTTATGCAGTCGTGCTTTCCCATATGGAAAAGATGTATATAAATCTATAAATATATAAACACATATAAGATCCCTTGAAAAATTATATAATGAAACTTGTATGTTTTGGATACTAAAACAATATATGAAAGTAATGAGAAAGTGGCCACTTTCATGAGTAAATCATAGAAGTTTTTACTATTTCTTTTCCATATGGGTTGTAATGAAGTGGACCAACCCTGTTTTTAAAGGAAGCTCATTCAATCATGCAAACGTTTAATTAGCAGTCAAATTGTTCATTTTAAGCCCTTTGATAAAACAATAGTGCCTCAAGCTGCAGCTTAGCACTATTTTCAACTCATACTCAATTTGTACTTTAGAGATACAGGTGAGATTAGATCACTTTAGAGTTTGATAACCCGTTGATGAATATCCCAGCTGAGGCAGGACGTCGTGGCCTGTATGAGACGAGACACGACCCTGGAGACGGCCCTCAACTCGAAGGCTTACCGGCGCAGCAAGCGGCAGACGCTGAGGGAGGCACGCATGACCGAGAAGCTGGAGAAGCAGCAGAAGCTCGAGCAGGAAAAGAAGCGCAGGCAGAAACATCAGGTGAGCCACACCAGAGTCCATGTAACAACCCACAGCACTTATTATATCATTCATCTTATTGTTGTTCTTGTAAAAACTGCAGTGCCATGGAAATCATTAAAAGTAGTGGTGCAACCGATCAAAAATCTCACGGTTCGGATCGGATCAATTTTCAGATCAGCAAAAAAAGAAAAAAGACAAAAATTGAACATTTACTTGAAGTATTTTTTGCCTGTTAAAAACATTAATCTCTAATAGTAATATTAAAAAATAAATTATGGTTCAATATAGGGCAGTATAGGTCTTTGTATCTACCACTCAATTCAATTTTATTTATAAAGCACCAAATCACAACAACAGTCGCCTCAAGGCGCTTTATATTGTAAGGTAGACCCTACAATAACACATACATCTCATTACATCGCACTCCGCTGTGATATAACGAGCGGTCACGGTCACGTAGCTTTCCGTTGACCTGCAGCTCCACCCATTTGTAGCAGTTAGAGCAACAGAAGATGCCTGGGACAGTTCAGCCATAACTTTAATCTTTTCCTGCTCATACATGCCTGGAACGATCTTGTCACTAAAGTGGACGCGCAACAGGATATCATAGCGTGGCTCAAGCACGTTCATCGTAGTTTAAACCCTTGTTTTGCACAACAGAATACGGCGTCCCCTCTGCAGCTAAACACCCCAGTAGCTTCTGTAATAGCTTTAGCCGGTCAGACTGGGCAGCAAAGGGCTGCTTAAATACCTCAAACTCCTCTGCTCCTCCACTTGGACCGCTAGCGCTGACCATAACTATCGCTTGACAGACTGACCACACGCACCATACACATACTTTTTTTCCTTCTTTTTCGGATCACGTGCGTGCCGAACCGTGGAGTGGGATCGGTTCGGATTACGGATCAACCGTGATCCGCTGCACCACTAATAAAAAGTATTCATGACAATTTTTGGTTAAAAAAACAAAACGCTACCGTCTCATTTCCTGCAGTCAAAACAAATGCAACAAAAGCAATCAGAACACTGTCAACAGTGCGACAGCATCCAGCAGGTCCTCTGTGTGAAAGCCGGTGACAGGCTGACAGGAAGGAAAACTCATGTGGCGTCAGGGTTGTGTCTGCAGTGACGGGAACAGAAACAAAAACTTGTGACTTGTTTTTCAGGAATATCTCAACAGCATCCTTCAACATGCCAAGGACTTCAAAGAGTATCACCGCTCTGTGTCCGGTAAGATGCAGAAGCTCACCAGAGCCATCGCCACCTGGCACACCAACACGGAGCGTGAGCAGAAGAAGGAGACGGAGAGAATCGAGAAGGAGAGGATGAGGAGACTCATGGTGAGGAGCGGCAAACCAAGATGAATCTTTTTGGAAGTCATGTGTTTTCATAAATGCTCAAACTAAAAGTTACGGATATACATGCTGATTATTCATTATACTGGCTACAAGCATATCACAGCTTACAGTAAACATGTTTGCTGCCAGCAAATAAAGGATCTGGGCCTTCCTACAGCCTGCTGAGCTTGGACCAGGCTGCTGGTGCTGTTCTTATGATGCCAGTTGTTGTCGCTGAGCTCAGTGTTGGCTTGACACACTTAGACATCTGTCTAAATGTTGCTCTCTGCATCTGTATAAGAAATGCCCCCAAATGCACAAAGCAGACCAAAACTGAACCTTTCAGAATTAGTATTTAATGTGGGTGATGGTCTCAGTGAGAAGCAGGATGTGACTGTCCACTCGTTTTCCGCTGTTCTCATTCTTCTCTGGTGTCTGATTATATTCCGACTCATTAAATCAGAGCTGGAGTTTGTCAGCTAAATAATAGCACACGATACAAACGTCCACAGTGTCGTGCTGCGGCTCTGCGTTCCTGTTTCGCACTTCTCAGCCCCCCACTCGGCTGCCAGCGCTGTTAGTGCTGCTGAGGCCTCATTACACGCATGGCTGAAGAGAAGGGAAACTGTAGAAGTGTCTTATGATACAGACAGAGGAGGACTTTGTGACAGAGACAGTTCACAGATAAGGTCGCTGGTGTGCAAATACATAGTTTAGCCATTTAACTCATTCACTGCCAGCCATTGGCAGTGAATGAGTTAAACCCATTAACTCATTCACTGCAATTGACGGCTATAGACGTCAATGGCAGTGAATGAGTTAAAAGTCTGTCTATTAGTTTTTTAAAAATTATTGTTAGCATGTTTTGTAAAGGATCCATTTGTAATCATAATAATAATTAAAGATCCTAAAGGTTAAACTGGCAACTATATGAGTGCAGTGGAGTTAATTTGTAATTCCGTCCTGTTATTATAATGGATCATTTACACTTCACCGTTACAGCAGCTCTCGTCTTTAATTTGATGTCACTTTGGCTCATCCAGGCAGAAGACGAGGAAGGGTACCGAAAACTAATCGATCAAAAGAAAGACAAGCGTCTGGCCTACTTGCTGCAGCAGACGGATGAATATGTGGCCAACCTCACCACCCTGGTGTATGAACACAAAGCTGCTCAAGCTGCCAAGGAGAAGAAGAGGAGACGGAAGAGAAAGAAGGTAGGAGGACGAAGGTCAAGTGTGTGCTCTGTGCAGCACTCAGCTTCAAGCAAACATAAACACAATAAAGTGGCTGCTGCTGTTTATCCTTATGTGTAGGATATGTGGCCTGCTCTAGGATCAGCAGTGTCATATTCAGTTCAGGGCAGTTTGTTTGCTCTTCTCTCAGTGTTCTCAAATGCTCCTGAGTAAATGACTTCACTACAACTACACTCACTGGCCACTTTGTTAAGTGCACCAGTTCAACGGTGCATTAATGCTCATGTTGCAGCGACTCGGTGTGTGCGGCCACGTAGGCCAAGACAACCTGCTGACGTTCAAACCGAGAATTAGCTCAGGGTCGAGGACAAACGGGGATTTAAGTGCCGTTGAATGTGGCGTGGTGGTTGGTATTTCTGAAATGGTCTGGAAAAGAGAAAATATCCGGTGAGCAGCAGTTCTCTGGGTGAATGCCTTGTCGATGTCAGAGGTGAATGGCCTGACTGCTTCAGGCTGATAGGACAGAAACAGTAAGACAAGTAGCCACTCACTGCATACAAGGCATGCAGAAGAGCATCTCTGTGTGGGCGACAAACCTCCAAAGCAGCACAAGACCACTGGTGTAAGCTAAGAACAGGAAGCTGAGGCTCACAGGGTCGACAACAACAGGCTGGATAAATGTTACCTGGCCCGATGATTTTTGATTTCTGCTCTGATATTCAGACTGTAGGGTCAGAATTTGGAGTAAACACATCCTGCTGTGTATCAGCGAGTCAGGCTCCAAGTACCAACAGGATATTGTTTAACAAAAACACCCCAGCTATTGTGGCTGACCACGTCCATCCCTTTGTGATAACGGTGTACCCGTCTTCTGAATCTGCTTCCAGCAGGATAACATGTCACAGAGCTGCCTTACAGTAGTTTCTTGAACATGAAGAGTTCACTTTATTTAGTGGTTCTTCACAGTAACCAGCGTCACGGATGTGCAGCAGCTCTGTGATGCTGTCGCACACAGTATGGACCAAACTCTGTGAGGACTGTTTCCAGCTCCTTGTTGAATTAAGCAGTTCAGAGGGTAAAAAGGACCCATCCTGGTCCTAGCAATGTGTACCTAATAAAGTGTCATGTGAGTGTACAACAGGAACACAAAGAGCACCTCAGATTTCTCATTCCCTCTAACCTATTATTATTATTATCAGTGTTTTTCCAGCTTTGATATGAGTCAGTGTTTTGAAGAAAATGCCATCTGATTGGTTGATGTGTTATTTATGTAGAAGGTGGATGGCGATGGTGAAGGCACTAGCGCAATTGGACCCGATGGAGAGGTGAGTGACTGTTCATGTTAAATGTAAAAAGTGTTTTGTAATTTGATCTGCAGCTAACTTTGAGTTTACTGAACGCTACCTCATCGTTAGCACGATTCCCACTCTGCAGCTTACCTGCTCAGGACTGCAGACAGAGTCGGTGCTGAGATGTGACAGCAGTGGACATTTTTTGTGGAGACTAAAAGTGGCAATAAAATCACACGAGTCCTGCACTTATGTTCAACAGGTGGACACAAACATGAATGAGTGACAGTCGTACTGATGGATGTGTAAATAATCAGCTGTCAAAAATCAGGCACTTCTGTTTCAAAGACTTTTTCAGGGTTCACGTCCCCCCGATGTCGACAGATGTTCGCTCTTTGTCCTCTGAATGCGTTTAACTTTCAAAATTAGTAACGCTGATAATTATTCCTCTCGTGCATTTGCTGAGTCTTTTATTGTGACTGCTACAAAATCCAACCTACTCTGACAGAAAAAAGAACCAAATAAGGAGGCGAACAAACAAACAGTAATTACCCATTGAGAGGCAGACTGCACCCTGGGCGATTGTGCAACAGAGGCATGTTGTAAACAGTCCTCCGAAAGCAAAAAGACGTCTGTGCTGTTTGTTTGTTTGCAGTCGTAACTTTCCACACTTTTTAATCATGTTCCTCTGTGTGCTCCAGAAGCTCAGGCTGAACTTTGATGGCAGGTTTGGTGAAGCTCTCATTGATGTTGTTTACCTCTAAAGGCAACTTTGGAGGTCTGAAAGTTTGGTTCATGTTGGGATTTATTAGTCTCATTTTTTCCAGTGAAAATAATTTATAAAATAATAAACAAAAGCTTTTGAATTGTCTGTAGAATTTTATGTTTTATAGCTCTTGTTTAATTGGGGTTATGGAACTAATGAAAAGTGTTTTACGTTCATGATATGCAGTCATAAAAGCAGCAGAAGCTCAGGTTACATCAGCGGTGGCTGATGAAAGTGAAGCTTTGTGGTTTATGGTTCTCGTTTCTAAATGGATTTGAAGATCTATATCATACTTTGATCAATATCAAAGTCCGCCGCTCATCTTAAAAACTTAACAGCTCATATCTTTTCCAAAAAAAGTTAAAAGACTAAAGTTTGAAGATGAGTTCAGATTTGTTTATGCATGCTGCTTCTTGTGTTTCCTCTGTCCTGTAGCCCATGGATGAAAGCAGCCAGATGAGTGAGCTGCCTGTCAAAGTGATTCAGACTGAGACCGGGAAAGTTTTGCAGGGAACCGAGGCCCCAAAATCCAGCCAGCTGGAGGCTTGGCTCGAGATGAACCCCGGGTGAGTTGCACAGCACTGTTGTCGGCTTCTGATCTCTTTGAAACGAAACCGTTGGACACTCCAAGATTCTGCTGGTGGCAGTCTTTCGGCCACGGTGGCTCGTAATGCTCACACAGACTGCATTTTGTAACGCCAAGAACAAAACTTACCAAAATCAATTCCAAGAAAATTCTTTCAAGTCTAGAATTAAGCATTGCTATGCACATCAAGGTTTGTGAACGCGATGACTCGAGAACGAAGCAACATAGGAATTTCAGACAGATGCCAAATCTCAGATAAGCTTGGATCTTAGTGACCTTGGCCTCGAGGTCAGAGGTCGAGTTTCCTGAAAACCTGGCGTGTCTAATAACTTGAGAAGGAAGTCACCTCGGATTTTGACGTTGATACCAGTCTTGGCATCTTCGATAGAATTCATGCATTTTTATGTAGCTGGTTTCTCAGTGGAGCAATATGTAGCTGTTCCACCTGACACTGTGTCCATGAAAACACATCAAACTACACTCGCTGTGTTCCCTCACAGGTCACAGCACACAGAGTCCACGGCTGTATCCCAATTCAGGGTCTGCAGCCTTAACGGTCCACAGGGGCCGCGCACTCAAAGACCGCTAAGGCCGGAAGTGCGAGGCTTGTGAGATGGGACGGTCTAGCCTCCGTCGCGCTGCCCAGGTTGCCTAGCAACCATGATACTAACAGCTGGAAACGTGTCATACAGCTGTGTTTGACAGAAATGAAGGGGAACATATTTTGTTCATTTGTTTGTTTGTTTCTACACGAGCTTTGATCATTCTCTGTGAGATTAAGCTCAGCTATTGATCGGTGTATATTTTAAAGTAAAGGCTTTAAAGCCAAGTTAGTACAAACGTCACTAAAGTCACATAACTTTGCCGACATGTGGCCAACAGTAATGTTTAATGTTCTTCGTTATTAAACATTTGCACATAAATAAGTGACATCATATTCAATACTTACTTAAAGTGTACTCTTCGGCCGCCCCTCATTCGCCGTTTCTTTTTCTGCAAAATTATCCACACCCATCGCTGCGCTATGCATTCTGGGATATGTTGGGCCACGAAGTCTACACCGCCACAGCCTTAAAATTCAGGGAAATGAAGGACGCATTTGAGGACCGCATTTCGAGCAGCCTTCGAATTGGGACAGCCTTCGGCGCGTCGCTGTGACGTAATCGGCCTTGAAATGCGGCCTTTAAGGCTGCAGACCCTGGATTGGGATACAGCCCCTGTTATCACTAAAGCACCCGCCGTTTTCTCCGTAGCACCTCCAGGATTGCAGGTGTCGCTCTGTGCAGCAGAACCGTGAGCACGATCAGGTGGAAAAGATTCGTCATTGCCAAGAACACCAAGAGAAGAAAATCCAGTTTGACTTTACACGACTTTAAAACAAAAAGCAGCAGTTTCATCTTCAGTGAAATTATACTGAGCCAGAAAAATCGTAAAATAAAAAAACACAAAAGAGCACGAGCTGCTGCAACAGGCAGACAGTTTACCAAGGCAGAAAAATGACTGAATTAATAACATTAGCTAAAATGTTTTAGATTTTTAAATAATATTTAATAAAACTAGGAAACGTTGAAATTCTCCTTCCACACTCTGATGATATTGATAGTCTGAATATCAATATCCCCGAATCAGCACATCTCCTTCATAGTTAAACATGTTTATAGTGTGAATCTTTTACTCGCTCTGTTTATTTATTTATAAACTCTCTTCACTATCTGGAGAGTTGTTGCTTGTTAGATAAATTCTGCTGAAGCTCGTCATTATGTTTCTGTGACGGGCACAGATGTTTTAATGAGGCTTTGTTTTTCTGTTGCTTCTTTTGAAACAGGTATGAAGTGGCCCCGCGGTCAGACAGCGAGGAGAGCGGCTCAGAGTTTGAAGAGGAGGTAGAGGATTTTCTCATTAATAAACTTTATATTGCACAAGATCCACCAGGGGGCGCTGTACACTTTATTATCCACATCAAAGTTGCTTCTTTGTTCCACCTGTGCTGCTGTTATTTTATTAAGCACGCTCACAGTCATGTGTTATCAACTTTACCTTATAAGGAGGAAGATGAGGCATCCAAAGGAGAGACAGAGGAGAAGAAGATAATCGATCCCAACGGAGATGGAGCCACTGAGGGTGCTGCCAAGAACATCATCGAGTATTGTATTTCCTTCTGTTATCTCCCATTTACTCGGCATGTGTTGCATCGGCTAGAAAGAAGCGTTCAGTTCACATATGCTGGAAGTTGTAGACTGTTTTTTAACAAACCTGATTTTCCCTGCAGGAGCCTCACAAATAAGCAAATAAACAAACCTCTGGCTGTCTTTGTATTGGATGTGGATTTCCAGAGGAGCTCAGACGGTTATTAGTCTGAGCTCCTGGGGTCAGGCCTCAGTTAGGCGCCATTAAATTAAATTTGTAAGCTGGTTCAGTTTGAGTTAGAATACTTTCAAATGCTCTCTGTCTCTGTCTCAAATGATCAAACACACATGCAGGTCAGCCAAGCAGGATGTGGATGATGAGTACAGTGTTCCTACTGGCCAAACCAGCTCCCAGTCTTACTACGGCGTGGCCCACGCTGTCATTGAGAGGGTGGAGAAGCAGTCGTCACTGTTGATCAATGGGATGCTCAAACAGTACCAGGTACACACACACGTATACATGTCTGCTTTTGTAGAAGCTGTCTACTCCTCCCTGTGCCTGAATCCACCAGAGGTCTCTTCCTGTTAACAGGGAGTTCCTTTTTCCACCATTGCCAGGTGCTCCTCGCAGGGCATCAGTGGATTGTTGAGTTTTTCACCCTAATGTTGAATCTTTGAGGGAACTTTTTGGTCCAAGGAATCCAATAACATGACAAGAATTTAATAAATGAGTCAAGCAAGTCTACATTGGTCACATTTGCAAATAGATCGAGGGAACATATAGAAACACTTGTTGTGAAGCTTCTGCTTTTTTCCAGCTTTGTGCCAAACAGTGTGTCAGATGTGTCCTTTATCCTAGGCTGGTCTAAAACGTCGTTCTTGCCTTTAACTGGTTCGACCTCATTTGTAAGCGCTACACTGGAACTTTGGCGTGACTGAGCAGGGCCTCCTAACTGTTCTTGGACAGCTTGTCCTGATTCTGGCGGAACAGTGTGGCCCAGTGCTGCCACCAGTAGACACGTCTAATTTGTCTTGAATGCCCTGTGAGGACTTGAGTTTCAGTTCAGTTCTACCGAGTCTGTGAAAAACATCTAAAGTGTCCAGCTGGAGCAACAGAGTAAGATGTTGAAAGTCTAATGAGATGGCAGAACGCTGCACAGAGATTTGCAGCGTCATGCAAACATATCAACTCTTTCAGCAGCTATTTTATCTTCCATCAACAACTATGTGCAAAACAGACGTAATGTGGATTTCAGGTTAGAGAGCAATCCACCAGGAATGTCTGCTTGCATGTGGTTGAAATTGGAACTTCTTTCCAAATGAAAGTTGAGTCAGACCCTCTTTCAGCAGACCGGCTCCTTTCAAATCAGCGAGAACTGATTTGCAGAGCTAAACTTTGTCTAAATGTATGTCTGCATGTTCACACAGGAAGCCGCTCTCATCTCCCAGCCCGTCTCTAATGTGATGCGGTGCACATCCATGGGGCATTTTTAAGCACGCGTGGGATCCACCCGAGCATTTGATGTGTGATTTGAGAGGCATTAGACAAAGTCATGCAAACACTGAGCTTGCATGGGCAGTCAGCAACTTGATTGCAAACAGAAATCAATATGGCAGCTTGTTTGAGACCAAAACTAGTGCAGCAAAATGTATTTATAACAACATGGTAGCAATGAAGTATGCAGGTGCTGAATATGTTTTCATTTTAGATGAAAAAGTCCAGTCTGAGTGCTTTCAGTTGTTTCCTGGTTACAATGAATGGGAGCAAACATTGGCTGATCTGCAGAGAAGGAACATTTTAGAGACTGTAAAGTTCTCGTATAAGTTGCAAACATTGGACCACATTGGCATCCGAGCTAATACATTTGAAAAATTCAATTAAAAGCTTTGGACACCCCCTTACATGCTGTAGCTCTCACTGCAACTCAGGAGCACCGCTGCTGTCGGCTTTAAGCAGAGTTTACACGACAGCAGAAGTAACAGACTGTCTGCATACAAACAGCTTTAGCTTTAATTGGATCTTCATTCTCCAACTTTGTGCTAGTCTAAAACAAAGGGTCAGTGGATGACAGTGTGTTTAACACGTAGTTTGATAAATGACTTCATTTGGCTTTTTTTCTTTCTTTTTTTTGGCCTGTCCCGTTTGGCTCTTTTGCATCAGAATTGTTGTCTAAAGGCAAAGAAAGATGCCCAACGGATTTACTTTACCAAACTGACCATCCCA